TCATCAACTAACTCTGAGTGAGGACATACTCCAATTCCCGACTCTAAGTTCCCGGTGGCGGTGTCGTTCGAGTGGGTACAGCTTGGGGGGCCCTTGGTAACCCAGGCGGCGTCCGAGACAGTATAATGCGCGATGGTGCAATACCATGAGAGGCAGGTGGCTAAGTTTTACGGAGACTTCGCTGCGGTCGCCAACACTCCTCCTTTTTCATCAGAGCTTGGGACTGACAACGGTGGAGTTTTAAGAGATACATTAAATAATAATGCCCAATCATGAGAAAATGATATAAATCATTGTTATTCAGTGCGAAAGTCGTTAAGAGGCTGCAATAAGATATTGAATTTATGACGAATCTGTGTAATGCTTGTCGGGCAGTCGAGCTTTGGAATCCAAAACTGTGTTCCTTTGTCAGTGCACTACCGCCTAGCACGCATCATGATCATCTCTGCTTTTTCCTCATGCGGTTACTTATCCATTGTTTAATGATTTTCTGAATATTTTAATTTATGGCTTGCGCCTTATGCCAGTCAAATCAGCAATCAGAGAATTGGGATTAACAACCTCGTAAGACCGTGGGTCGAACAGGCTGACCGTGGCATCAAGCTCCGGTACGACCATGTTTGAATTTCATTATTTCCCGGATTTTTATAAGGCATCAACTTGTTGCCATTAGTGGCTAATCATATCGTAGAAGTATGGTGATTGAATTCCTTGCTGAGGTGAATTAGTAACTAATACGGAAAATCACGCTGCATCTACGAGTTGACCCCAACATTCTTGATAAGTCGTTTCCACTAGTTCAGTGCTTCCAAAAAGATTGGCTAATATTTATTTACTTGCTGAGAGAATTGCGGCGTTTCGTTTACTTATGAACAGAAGAAAAGAGAGCGAGTTAGAGCCGCTATCCCGTTTAGTGTTTAAATCTCGAAAGTTATACTTTTTAAAAAATTTTCCTACTCGTTTTCTTGTGTAGGAAAGTTACTGGGCGGAGCTTGAAGTCGACGGTTATATCATAATGTATTCGGTGGAGAACCGAAGAAGTTTCGATACCGCTGAAAAGGCACTGCGTCTTCTGCAGGATTCGCAACGGACAGAAGAGAAGCCTGTAATCCTTGTCGCTAACAAAATAGACCTCGAGCGAAAACGCGTCGTTTCCGTTGCCGGTATGAAAATCGAGTTTTGAACCCTTCCCAATTACAGTAAGCTAACTTTGCAGATGGTAAACAGTTGGCCCGCGACTATAAGTGCAAATTTGTCGAGATATCAGTGGCAGTTGGACACAATATCGACAGACTACTGGTCGGCATTCTAACGCAAATTCGAGGCAAAGTCAACAGTGCTCAAGAAACAGAGCTGTGCGAAAAGGTTGCCAGTGAAAAGAAGAGCAGCACAGGCGATAAAGCAGTCAGCTGTTTCAACCTGCCAATTTTGGGTCGAAATCTAGTATCCAAACTTTTCGGCAGTGACACAGCAAAATCGTGTGAAAACTTGATTTTTACAAAATGATAATGTACTTTACTGTCCTCATTAACGTTTGTAATTAAACGCGCTTACCATGTCTGACGAGTGCTCATCAAACAAATAAACTGTTTATCTCTATATCGTTTATTGTAATCTTAGTAACTACCGCGATCGATTGTGCGCTGATGCGACCTATAAAACCTTGTAAGTTCAGATACATGAGTACGAAAGAACGAATGTCAGCCGATATGGCAAAATCTTTTAGCGTAAAGTGGGATGATAACTCTTTATTTGCAATCTACTAATCGACGAATTTCAGCTGTTTGTCTAAACATCCACAAAATAACAATGAAAAATATGCATTATTTAACTGGTGCAAATTTTTCTGCCATGCATGAACGCAAAGTTAATTGAAAAATGCTATGAAAAGTTGTTCAATAGGTTTAGCGACTGATTCAACAATGTTTTTCATGATAAACGTGGAACTAAATTAGTGTTTAAACGGTCATCTTTCGAGTACGAATAACCTGTGTAACGAACGCATCGTTTCATATTTTAGATCGAAGGCTGGGGCTCAACTTTTAACTGTGTCCAACAGTAGGCTCTGCCGAAAGTCTATATGGATCATTGCTGTAATTATTAAATATACTACAGCATTCTTACGCGTGAAATAATTTAATTCCGTCACTTTGACCGGCCAGTAAACGACGACGAATGACGGCCTTCCTGCAGGCCGCGACACCCCACCATTTCCCAACGCTTTGAACCTTCTCTTACCATTCGAGGCCTTCCCGACTCCTGATATAATCTTCTCAGGGTGCAGTCCGCGGGGTCCCCCGTCAGAGTGTCAGTCGACGGCCACTGCCGACCATCTGTCGGTGAACTGAACTACTTGCGACAACGTCCTTCACTGCCGCTTGCTGTCTAATCACTGTGTTGGGGATGTGGCCGCTCCGCGAAATTCCCAACATTCTTCTTCCCATCGCTCGCTCAATTACGAGGAGGTAGCACTCTTCGGCTGT